TACAGAGTCCTGATGACTCCTAACTTGTGCTCCAAAGGGTGATGGGAGTCAAACTGCAAATACTGGTCTGTGTGGGTGGGTTTGCGGTACACCTCAGTTTGCAAATGTCCTCTATCAGAGACTGAGACCTCACAGTCCAAGAAAACCAACTTGCCATTTTTTACATCTTCTCGTGTGAACTTGATGTATTTATCCACAGAGTTGATGTGGTCAGTAAAATGTTGGACTTCCTGACATTTGATTTTAACCCAGGTGTCGTCAACATACCTGAACCAATGACTTGGTCAGTCAGAGTCAGAGTCAGAGTTTCTTTATTGTCATTCGCACCTCATGTGGTACATGTGGTGGAGCGAAATTATGTACACGGGGTCCCAGTTACATCCAACAATAAAATGTATAAGAAAAACAGTAATAACATCTAAGATATGAACTAAGAAAAACATCAACTAAATATACACTAAGCACTCATAACATAAAACATTGAACATCACCACAAACATGAACATGAGTCTGTGAGCAGATGTGCACGCATGAACACATCAACATTGAAACAGATCAGCAGCAACATGAAACAGATCAGCAGCAACATGATATGGTTTTTCACAGTGATTATTCTAGTTAGAGATTCATGAGTCTAACAGCCTCAGGGTAGAAGCTGTTCCTCAGTCTAGTGGTTCTACACTTAATGCTCCTTAACCTCCTTCCTGAGGGGAGTGGGGCAAAAAGTGTGTGTGCTGGGTGGGTGGGGTCCTTCATGATGCAGGTGGCCCTCTTCCTGCATCTGGAGGTGTAGATGTCTGTGATGGTGGGGAGGCTGACTCCAACAGATTTCTGTGCAGCCTTCACCACTCTCTGCAAAGCTTTTCTTTCTGCAGCTGTGCAGCCTCCATGCCACACGTTGATGCTCGAGCACAGGATGCTCTCCACTGCACACCTGTAGAAGGAGGTGAGGACTGAGCTTCCCAGACCAGCTCGCCTCAGCCGTCTGAGGAAGTAGAGTCTCTGATGAGCTTTCTTGATCAGGCTGGTGGTGTTGTTGCTCCAGCTGAGGTTGTCATTCATGTGTACACCCAAGTACTTGTAGCTGGAGACCACTTCCACCGCAGATCCTCTTATGTTCAGGGGGGTGTAGGTGTTTTTGTTCCTTCTGAAGTCCACAATCATCTCCTTTGTCTTCTTCACATTGATGTGAAGGTTATTCTCTTTGCACCAGCTCTCCAGGTGTTCCACCTCCTGCCTGTAGCTGGACTCATCATTGTTTGTGATGCATCCCACCACCGCTGTATCATCTGCAAACTTTACAATGTGACAGCCTGGATGGGTAGCTGCACAATCATATGTGAGCAGAGTAAACAGGAGGGGGCTCAACACACATCCCTGAGGAGAGCCAGTGCTGAGGGTTATGGTGGAGGAGGAGAGGTTGTGGATCCTCACTAACTGTGGTCTGTTTGTTAAAAAGTCTAGTACCCAGTTGCAAATGGAGGGGCTTAGTCCTAGTGTGGATAGTTTGTCCATCAGGGTTTGGGGGATCATGGTGTTGAAGGCGGATGTGAAGTCCACAAAGAGCATACGGACGTAAGAGTTTTTCTGCTTCTGGTGGTGTCCCTGAAAAGGACGTCAAGGCTCTCTTTTCTACCTCCTCCATGTACAGGTTGGCAACAATAGGAGAAACTGGAGACCCCATAGCACACCCATGTTTCTGCCTATAATATTGCTCCCCATATGTGAAGTAGGTTGACTGCAGGCACAGTTTCAAGAGTTGACACAGTTGTTCTGTGGAAAGCGTGGTCCTGCTGCGCAGAGTGGTGTCTGATTTTAATTTTAAACTGACCACCTCTACTGCATCCTCAACAGGAATGCACCAGAGGACCAGATTTAACTTTTTTAGATTTTTCTACCTGGATTATTGAACATGCATCAGGATATCTGGGACATGTAGTTTCTTTTACTTGAGCGGAACCCGGAAGTGGGGGAGCACTGGGAGTCGTCTTTCTCCCACCTTCTCTCTTGCAGCTGACTGTCGATATGGGCAGCAAGATGTAGTAATTCATCAAGAGTCTCGGGTTCCTCTCGAGCTGCCAGCTGGTCTCGAATGCGGTTGGACAATGAATGTAAAAATATACCTCTCAGTGCGGGTTCCCCCCATCCAGTCTGAGCAGCGGTGATACGAAACTCTAAAGAGTGAGCCGTCACTGAGCGTCCTCCTTGTCTGAGGATGAGTAATTGCTTCACTGCTTCCGTCTTTTGCAGAGGTTGATCAAACCCACGGATAAATTCTTCTAAAAAGAGAGAGAACGTTAGTGAGCTGAGGGGGTGAGTGGACACATGTGCCCAACGTAATGCATCTCCTTTCAACTGATTTATAAAAAAGGAGATTTTGGCTACATCAGTGGAGTAACGGAGAGGAGCTCTCTCAAAGGTTAACTGGCACTGTAATACAAATCCACCACAAAGTTCAGAGGGCTTTAAATTTTTGCTCCATCACGACACTCTGTGAAGGGCAGGGCTCGTTTTTTTTCAAGACAGACAGTCTTCATTTGTATTGTTTTGTCGACTAAGCTACATTTAATTTCTAAAATATGGATAAACCTGATCTCATCATGCAGCATAAGCAAATGGGTATAGGTGTGAGGGCCAAAAGTCTGGTTATGTACGGACTCCTAATTGTGCTTGTTTTCTACTTTTATGTTTGTTTGTTTTTGGCTGCTCCTTTCTTTAATGTGGGAAAATCTGAAACATTGTCACATGAACAAATGAGACAAAACTGGCTACGTCAGCTCTTTTTTCAAAAATTTAAGGTTTGTAAGAAACAGCGTTATATCTGCTGTCAAACACAAGAAAATTCTCTTTTGTCCTTGGGTTGTAGCTGCACCTGACACAGGTTGGTTGAGTCTGGTCTGGGTACAATGAAATCTGAAGCATCTGAAGAGAAACCTGCTCCTATTTTCAATGGTCTCAATTAAAGAACATGAGTTCTGTAACGAGATAATGGCCCAAAACAAAAGCTAAAAACAAAATTTGCTCTTTAGAAGTTCTTCTATGAGATCTGATCTATGAAAGGAGTTGAAACATGGAGTAGGATTGACCCTTAAAACCTGTGACAGCTGAGGAAGTTAACCAGTAAACAGAAATACCTGCTCATGGCAGAAATCTTACAGAAATTGACAATCACTCATCTGCAACAACGTGAAGTTGAAGGAAATATCCTTTGTCCCAAAGCCAGTTTAAGTGTCATTGTTATTTTGGTTACTTTATATTTCTTTATTTATGAATTGATTGTAACTATTTTCACATTATTCAACAACCAAAACGGACGTTTTTTTTTTTTTGCTCCAGTAACGCCTTGTTTTTTTTGTCCAATTAGATGCGGCTCGCCAGACACGCCTATTTTTTAATCGTCCAATCAGGTGTGGTCTTCTAGATACGCTCATTTTACTATCGTCCAATCAGATGTGGTCTTCCAGATACGCCTTCCGATTTTGTCTGCAGCCGTCAGTTTGTGCTACGCGTGTGAACATTTGACGATGTATGAAGAACGGACAGACCAAGGGACGAAACGTCTCAGCACAAAAATGAAACCGTCCAGATGACCTGACTAAACATTGTTGGATTTTATACCTGGATTATTGAGTATATATTTTGGTAACATTTAATGACGTCATTTCCTGTGGAGGGAACTTAACCCGGAAATAGGTGTTGGCTGAAGAAGAAGGTGAATAATAACAGGACGGACACCAGGAACTGAACTAAAACCAGGACCAGGTTTTGGACATTTCAGTGAAGACATCGGTCCGCGCATTGTAGTTTAAAGTGTTTTTGATTCCATAAGTTACGAGCTCTGTTAGCCGCGATCTGCTAACTGTCGGGTGAGGCGCGAGCTCAGGAAGTTTCTGCAGACGAGAGTGACACAGGTGAGTCACCCACAGGTCCACCTGACAGCTAGCATCAGCTAATAAGAGCTAACGACAAGTATTTAGCGCTATCAGCTAATAAGAGCTAACAACAAGTATTTAGCGCTATCAGCTAAC